TATACTTAAAATGCATCCTAGAATTGGCACTGTAAATCTATTACACAAAGAAAGCTAAACATAGAGGCATACAATAGGAATCCACTAATTCTTAAGCCTCCTAAGCTTTATCCTTCTCTGCACAAGAGTTAGAGCCTGTAAAATGTTAAAGAAAGAGGGGGTAAGTCTAGCCACTTAATAACCAAGGTAAATCTACCCATGCAGTTGTATATCATTGACAAAAACATAAAATATGGAAAGTGGATGTTCTTAAAAAGAAAAACATGCCTTAACAAATAGTTTTACAAGAATCACACACATTATGTCTCAATTATTCACTACTGTGAAATCACATGGTACATAACTATAAGACATTCAAACATATAACTATGACTCGATATCAATATGACTTGCCACATCTTGATTAAGTGACATGTTGTTTATCACATAGGCAAGATCGATCATCTTTATACTCTCCTTATTTTCTCTGATTGAAACCGTAGGCTATACACTAAATAGGATTCTGTCCATGTGAATGGACTATGCAAGCTCACCACTGTGAGGTGTGACCCGGCCAAATATCACATAACTCACTCTCGGACCATAGCTTCCCCTACTCTTGAATCTCTAAGGTCTTGTATTTCCTAGACTAATTTCTTTGATAAATTGGTTGAGATAGTTAGGTTCTAGTCCCTTGACAAACTATGAGACAGTCCTTCAATAAATTATGGGATAAGGCTATAACCCCATACACTGGAGGATAACCAAAATGCCTTATAAATTTTTCTACTCCTATCCTTATGCGAACTCTCACCTATTGATTATGCCATGTACGATGCTCACTCATTTTTACATCTCATTTATTCATTATCAAATCAGCATGTTGGGCTTACGGTTATGCATTACCCAATGAGCATCGTTACTTATTTTCACATTTATCACATAAATCCACTACTTTCAAACTCAACACATTCCTCTTTATCAAACTCATCATCAACTATTCAATTTTACATCCCATTACATTGCAATTATGTAAATACAAGTTTTTTATAGCATTTTACATGCATTCACACAAGTCACAATTCACAAGTTAAACACACATTTCACATTGTGTTGTAATCAACATATAACTACCTAAAATAGGATTTTTCAGGTTACTTCAAACCTTTGAGAGATTAAAGGTTTATCCCTTAATATTAAGCTTCTAAGCTTGACTTTCCAAGCAAAATAGTGTTTTCAAGAGCTCAATCTATAATTAATCAATTTTAAACTTTATCACAATGTCAAACACACATTTTCAACTCTTATCTTCCACTTCTAGACTACCCAAATGCCCATATTTTTCATGTTTGTGTTTACCCATTCGGTTTATTAACTCTCTTTTAGTCCCCATTAATATGAATGTGCTATTAAATTTCCATTAATAGCATTTCTATTCTTCCAACAACCATTATAGTTATTAAGTGCAGATATTAATGAGATCCAACAATCAAAGATATCAAAACTCATTATTTTTAGGGTTATATACTCAAATATACTCATTAACTCCTTTGAGTCAAGAATTCAGACCCATAGTCTATATGAACAAAATTATCTTACATTATCAAACCTAACTAAACACTTCATAAATGTAGAAGAGAATGAATTCATCGTTTGTGCGCCATGGTGGGCGTGCTGCTCACTGTAGTATGTGGCATAGAGACCTTTCTTCACATTTTCCACCTCTCTTTTCAATACCTAGGTTTGTCTTCACTTTGGACTTATAACTAGGGTTGAAAACATAACCAATTACATTCACTAGACCTCCTTGGACACACATAATGTCAAATCACTCAATTCATATCATTAAACTTAATTAATCCCTTAATAATTCGAGGATTAAAAATTTGAAATGTTACATGAAGGGTCGACCCTTTTATTTTCAAGCTTAAAAGGTCGGCCCTTTTAAGCTCAATTTGTCACTTTACACCTCAAAGAAGTTTCCTCTTAGATTTTTTTGGCTTAACCTAATTGACTGCTCTATTGTCCGTTACATTTGGTAAACGTGTAGAACATCAATGACACCTTTATTTTAAACCTACACCAATAGAATCTAACTTGAGTGAGTGGGAAAATTTCACTCGGGAAATTCTCATCTCACCCATTATCATACAAGTCCTCGATAAGCACAGATGACGCACTTAAGTTTCCTAACCTCTCAAGTCTGAAGATCAGTGACCCTCCATCATCAAAATTCCCACGCAAGAATCTCTCTTGACTAAGTTACCAGCTAGTCGAGCGTTGCCTCTAACCTTATGGCTTCTTTTAGTTGGAATTATTCTTCCCTCAATTTAGATGTAAAAAAGGGTTCCGTTAACCACTTGATACTAGTTATGTCATTCTTACTAGTATATGTGTTACATATCTATATCTCCTTTTTAAACTACTCCTTTGTGCCTATTGAAGACTCATTTTTAATGCAACACATTTTCAATGTTCAATCCCTTAATTTCAAAATAAAAAGGAGAGTTTCAATCACATAATCATCAATTAATCATCTTCAATCACATGTCATACCCATCCTTTACTTGCAGTAAGTATTTTGACTCTTTTTAGATTTTACAATTTGCATATATACTCAACTTAGGGCCTAAAATACACAATTTAACTAAAACAACACATAATACAAGTAAGTGTACATATAAACTCCTAGTTGGCATGCCATTAATAAATATACACATATAATACTTAAAATAAAGATGCCTATAGATTAGGATTAAAGTCCTAAGCCTCAGTCTATTTCCCCCGGTCATGACCCATGAGCTAGCTCCTGTAATGTTAAAGATAAAGCAGTGAGTACAACCACTCAATAACTAAGGTATTTCTAACTTATACTAATGCATGTCAATCAATTTAAATGCAAGTGGAAAACATTATTATACTTAAATCAAATTCACATATTTAAACACATAATTACATTCTTCATCATCAATGTATAAATTCATGAAATTCTATCATGATAATCAATATTCATAATGATACACGGTTAATCACATTATTACATCTTAAGGGACAAATACATACAACCATATGCCTTTTTTAATCACAATATACATGATCACCTGTGTTATATCTTCCTTATACCTTTGACATGAAATCATGAGCTAAAACACACTATGCTTATCTAAAAGATAAGATTACCCTAGCCATTCAAGTTAGAGAGGCTAATCGGCTAAGGTTTATTTAACTCACTTGTGAGTCACAATTTCTCCCAAATCTTACATTGTGGGGTATCATTCTTTCTAAATTGACTTCTTCATTGAACAAGTAGAAAACTAATTAGGTTCAAATCCCTCATTGAGCCAGTGGGATAATCCTTCGTTAAATAAGTGAGACAATAAATATAATTAAATCTAGCAAACCATCAAGTTTTGATGATAGCCTTGCCATGTGAATTTTAATTTTTTAATTTTTTTTTAGGCTAACTCTCACATCTCATAATTATGCAGTGCATAAAAGATGCTATTTCTCATAGAAATAATTTTGAATTTTTTTTACATTAAATATGGTCAGATGGTCATAAGTGAAATTTTTCCATAGAGATTCCATATTGGAACCATGGACAGTCCAACAACATCGAAGAATTCAGAGTCAACTCACGCGTGACGCGTCATCCTTACCTTCCACTCGTCAATCTTTTTCAGACTTTCAGTCTATCAGAAGTCATAAGGTTAGCACTTCGCATGCACGGCGAACAACCTCTTGTTCTCTCTCTTTTCCTGCGCATCCTCATCTCCCTTTATATCCTCTTCCCTTCTCAACCTCAGCTCCAAACAAATCCCAAGTCTTGTTTATTGAATCCTTTACTTTCATCCATTAATCTCATCATGCACGCACAAGCCTCATCTCTAACCCTAGAGGTCACCGTTTTATCTGCTGATAACCTCCGTGTCGATCGGACTCCCGTGACCAACAACGTGTATGTCGTCGTTCGAGCGGAGTCCATCAACAGCTTCGCCACGGGCATGGTGTCGGCTACAACTAGCCAGTTCTTGTGGAACGACAAGTTCTTGGTAGATATGGCAGTGCACACGAGATCGATAACATTCGAGGTGAAGCACAAGACGGCAATGGGAGTGGTAAAGAACGTCGGTGTGGCGAGGATTGCGGTGTCGGATTTTCTTGGCGGAGGAGGGAGTGGCATGGTGGAGGACTGTTCTAAGGTTTTGAGCTACAGATTAAGAGATGGGGAAGGTTGGCCTAACGGAGTGATAAATTTTGAGGTGAAGGTTCTTATGAGATGCTCATCTTCTAAAACAAAACCAGTGGCGGCGATGACAGGGAGGAAGGTGAGTTCTTGTGGGTTTCAGATGAGAGCATCAACGGCGGATCAGATGAAGCTTAATGGAGTTGTCATTGGGGTACCCACATGTTGGAACCCCTGTACTGGACGAAATTCTTGATCAAATGCAATTTTTTTATATACAAAAGCATGGAGCAGCACAAGAATTTGGAGAATTTTGTCAAATGTGTACAAATTAAAGTACAAACAAATGAATGTGGATGTAATAATATCTCCCTTTTGGCTTTTGGTGTTGTACTTTTGTTGTACTGCCTGAGTTTTAATCGAGCGTTCAGTTCTCCATTAAAAAAAAAAAAAAAAACTATGTAATAAGATAGTGGATCCTCGAACGTTGAGAATTCATATTTTATGAAGATTATTTATTTTTAAAAAATATATAGAAAAAATTTATATTATATAAAAAAATAAAAAAAAAAATTATATGAAGTTATTGATATGTTCAGAGAATTTACTCCCGTGTGCTGTATAATTGTTTCACTTGTTGCTTGGTATGTTTGCACACAAATATTACTATGATAAATTTTTTTTAATAAAATTAAAAGTAGTTTACATGAGTTGGGCGGTGGGAAACTGTATTGATTCTATGAAAAGTAATGAAGAACATTTTTGTCTTTTAAATATTTGTGTAAAAATATATGGTATTCTAATTTTTTGTGGTGCATGTTTCTGTTTAATATTCAAAAATGATGCAATATTAATCCTACATATTAAATTTGATTATTTGTTTATAAAAAAATTACATAAAAAACCTCAAAATTTTAAAAAACGATTCAAAAAATTATGAATAAGTATTACATAAGAAAATTAATATAAATTAAATAAGTATTACATAAGAAAATTTTAAAAATTAATATCAATTAAATCTCACAAATTACAAATAAGTACAATAGATAGATGTTTTTTTTACCTATTTAAAATATCAAAATATCATTTTGATTGGCCGTCAGGAGAATATCGAATTATTATTATTGGTAACAATACAGGTAAGTAATTAAAAAATTATATTTGTTTTAATAATATATTATTAAAATATTAATAATTTAATATACAATAATTTAAATATTGTTATTCACAAATCTTTCCACACATTTTATAAGTCAAATTCTTGAAATGTACAACTTAACTAGTGCATTTGTGAATAAAAACTTGTAACTCAAGTAAAGTAAAAAAAAAAACACATTTACTTATAAATCTTGAATATACTAGTTGATTTGTAAATTTTTTAAGGAGGATTTATAAATTTTGAAAGAAGACTTATAATTTATTATACCATTTTAACTTACAATTCAGTTAGTGTGAATAACATATTTACTTATAAATCTTGAATACACCAGTTGAGCTGATAATTTTAAAAAGAAAATTCATAATTTTTGGAGTAAATTTTATAAATAATATTATATAAATATTATTATTATTATTAAATATTAAAGTATCAATATTTTAATAATATCTTATTAAAACAAGGGAAAAGACTAAAATTTCTCTTAATTATCAATTTAGTATTTAAGTTTTGATTCAATATAATTCCATCCTTTTAATTTATTGAGTTAAGAAATTATAAAGATTGAGTTGTACTCAATCAAAAAATTAAAAGAACTGAGTTATTTTGTGTTAAGACACCAGAAATTAAGTTGTTTTGAAGCAAAAATTAAAGGACTAAATTGATAATTGAAAACAAATTCAAGGACCAAAATTTATATTTTCCTTCAAAACAAATATATTATTTTTAATTATTTATAAATGTTGTCAGGACTAATAATTCGATAAGCACCCATTAGTGGATCAAAAATGGTCCGTCAAAATGATATTTTGGTCTTCTATATGGATAAAAAATAAAATTTATTTCTTGATATTTATTTATATTTTCAGGGAGTTAGCCAATATTAATTTTCTTACCAAGTACTCCTCTTGATCAGAAATTGGTAACCATTTCACAAAATTTAGGTAAAACCTTAATATCCTAAAAAATTTACATCTTTTTAATTATACTTTAACTTTTTGGTAATATAATTATACTTTTATTAAATATTCTATATAAGTACCATACTAATAATAATTGAAATTTTAATACACCATTTTTTTCAAAAAGAATAATATATGAAATAGAAGTATAATTGAAAAATAAAAATAAAAATTACCTAATGTCTTATATTTTTAAACAAGTAGAGCTTCTAAAAAATGTCTTACATTGTGATTTGGAGAAAGTATTAATTTGTAATTTTAAAATCAATAATTGTCAAAGTTAACATTTTTTTAATAATGAAGTGGCTCATGCATAGCTTTCAAATGTTAAAATAAAAAATTACACCAATAAGTTTAAAATATCAATGTTTTTGAGTGAATTGTTGAGAAGTAAATTTTTTAACATTTTTTTTTCTGGATAGACACAAGGTGAATTGCAAGACATTTTAAGCAAGTACAATCTCTCTCCACTTAGTTACCGAGTCCAGATCCACTAACTGCATAAAATTGACGATGTGTGTTACAGAAAGAGACGGAAAAAAATAAAACAATAAAAAAAGTGGTGGAGTATAATTATCAGATGTGAACTCCAGAGTCCATACATCGTTACATTTTCTGATGTTACTCTCTCTCTGACTTTGACTGCATGACTGCGTGAGTGTGAATGATGTGTTTTCCACATTAAATCACTTCATCCATTTGATACTTTTCCTATAGCTTATGTTCCTCGTGTGGTTCTTTGTGAATAGGTTGCAACTTGCAAGGAGTTGAGGTTCCTACCGTCTAAAAGTAGTGTAGGCCAGTTGACTAAGATCTGAACGAACTATTAGGGTACGTATAGAATTGCTGGCATGGGTATATCTATACAAACGAAAGAAAGAATAGAAATAGGAAAATCCCAATTTACATTCCCTAAAGACGTGTCACTTGACCAATAAATTCAGTTCCTGGCGTGCTTGGGAATAAGACGATTAAATAACTCAGCAGTGGCACCAGCTATTTCTGCATTGTTATCAATTTTTGGATATAAGCAATAGAGAATCATCCAACCAATATAAGTCAAGTTCTTAAACTGAAAAAGATCACTTCAATTCCAAAATAAGAGACTTAATTATAAATAGCTCTTACAAATTTGTTTAAATATTGTGAAGTCTCAAGGATCTTGAGTATTTATGACAAATACAAAAGGAAGACAATTTTTTTTTAATTTACAAGTCAACTTCCTAAATTTACAAGTTAACATCTTAGATTTAAAAGTTGAAAATGTAAAAAGTTGGCTAGTAAATCTATGATATTAACTTCTAAACTTAGAAAGTTGACTTGTAAATTGTCAGGAGAATTTTTTCCTTTTACGCAATATTTTTAGGTTATTAATATTAAAAAATAATTCATATTCTCAAATTTTGACTAAAAGTCTTGCTTAAAGTTGTTTAGGTATAAAATAAACTCTACTTGAGCGTTTCACAAACCTGTCCTTAGTTTACATATAAGCAAGTCCAGACAAGTCCATAAAATTTGGGGTTGCACGTCAAGGTTTCTGCGTGCCTAACCATGAGCAAATACGAACTTGCCAATAGGCAACATGGCTTAGCCCAAGGTGGGAGAAATGAATCAAATCAACTTAACTGGACTGAATTTTGGTGGATCATGACAAGACCACTTTACCACTTTGAATATCACTTCTTTCTTTTAAAAAAAAATTTTTGGGGTTATCTTTGAATGCCAAGTTGCGCATTTCCCTCCATGTGAAGTTCTTTAAGATATCTCTTGTGATTCATACGTCATTTCTAGCTAGGACTCTAACAAGACTACTGTGTACCACTTTCAATATCCAACTGTGTATTAAGCTGTTTGTAAAAGATTCTATTTGCCACTCTACATAAATTTCTTTAAGGTATCCCTTACAAGTCATGCCCCCTACTAGGCAAGACTCTTATTTAAAGACATTTAGTCATAATCCAATCTAAGATCTTTTTTTAAATTTAGATCGGGTTGTTGGATCCTTCTTTTTATTTAAAGATTGATAATCCAAAAACAACATGTGAATTTAAAGTCAAGGATACCAATTATTTTTTTATATAAATTTTTGGGACAACATTTCCTTTTAACTATTAAAATTGTTACATTAGGACAACATTATTCTGTTTTTTAAACTTTCAGAGAACATTGCATCAATTGAAAGTTAAGAATACCAATTACAAATGGTGGAAACTTCCGGGCAATTTTCTATTTAATTCGGCTAAAAACAATAATAAACAGTAAGTAATGATCACGAGGACATAACAAATGAGGTAAAATAATATAAGAAAAACTCATTTTCATCCTTCACACGCACATACTCAAATACAAGCATGCCATTGACCCTATTGCATTGGGCCCGTTAGCCTGGATTATTTTTTTTAATTTTTTTTAAAGAATATTATAATATTTGTCCACTTAACTACTTTTGAGTTTTAATTTCAACAGATTCAAATAATAAGATAAACAGCAAAGTCATAAAGTAAAAAAAAAAAAAAGAACAAACAAGTGAACAAGAAGCTAATGAATTAACTCATATCTCCTCCATTATCTATGTTATGAAAAAAACTATTAAGGTTGCGTTTGGATAAATGAACTTGAGTTAAAAATTTAAATGTAAAATCTCATATTTAAAATTTTTTGTTTAGATGATATAAAAAAATTCAAATTATAATATTAAAATCTTTTGTTTGGATCTTAGATAAAATTTTAAATTCTATGTTTAAATTTAAAGGTAACTCAGATGATGTCGACAATCCAGTCCTAGTCAAAGTTGACAGTCCAATCTCGATCAAGGGTGACAACCAAGTCTTAGTCGACACTAGCTATCTGAACCCTAACAACATTAGTAGTATAGTCTTGATAGATAGTAATAGTCTGGTCCTAATAGATGTTGGTAGTTCAATCTTGAACAACGCCTACATAGTAGAATGAGGCAATGACAACAATTTGAGAGCTTCAGATTGGACCTGGATGACAACACCATACCATTTCTTGTTAACAGCAACATTTGGTGCTGGATGAAGAAGGCTGACGGATTGAAGATGGTGATCAATAATTAGTCTTGAACAACAACAGTAGTGGCAGACCGACACCAAGTAGTAGAGGAGATTGATTGAAAGTGAATTGAAATTTGAAATTCCTAAACTCGATTGATGCCGATGGTTCAGTCTCAGTTGGTGCCAGTGGTCCAGTCCTAGTCGAAGTTAGCACTTTAGTCTCGATTAAAGGTGATCATCTGGTCCCT